GTACCAAGCTTATTGCTCTACTAGATCAGCCTTGTTAGTATCTTTGACATTCTTTACAACAACACATATAATAAAATAAAAATTAATCTAATTCAAAGTCTCGATTCTGGTAGCAGGTTTAATTTTGATTTCATTGTTAGATAATAGATGTAAGTCTTGAGCATGCCCCCTCAATGATTAGAGTTGAAAATTCAGCAGGTTTTTTGGTTGATCTTTGAAAACCCTGCAAACTTAAATGACTGTAATAATTAGAACATTGTGTCTTGAGACAAAAATTAATGTTTATTTTTCTAAAAGACAATTAGAGAGTAAACCCTCAGGTTTTACAATCTAACTACAAAGGCATGTGCCCCTTGGTAAAATAGCAAATAATTAATGGTAACATCTCTGACCTACACCAAGTTCATTTTCCGCAAACTCAAGAAAATGAAACGCCTAGAGCATGACTTTAATCTTGATTTTTAACCTTATATTATGCATATTGATATCAGCTCTTAAAAGAACTCCTTTTAGAATTTAAAAGGCATGCTTTTATTCTTGTAGTTTTCTTTTATTAAGATTTTTCTCATTATAGAGACTGTCCCTTCTACTTTTTTTATTTTAGAAACTAAAGGTCTAAATTAATTTTCCCTGTAGGTTTTAATTGGAACCCTATTATAGTAGATAACATGCATGATACAGGTTTATAGAGGTAATTATAACACCATGATTATAAACAGAGAATTATTGAAGTGAAAGAGACTTTAAGAATGTCTGTTAATTGTACTAACAAGTTTTAAAAGATCTGTTAATTAAAGAGGTACTAACAATGGAGCACTGATGTACTTTGCATTGTGAAAAATAAATGTACTTAAAGTCATAAAATTTTAACAATAGAGTTTAGTTTAAATGCACAATGGTAGATTATTAAAGAAATCTGATAGAAGATCATCCTATAAAATAAAAAATAAAATCTAATTTTTTATTACTTAGGGAATTATATCACATCAAGTTTAGATGTATCTTTAATAATCACTGGATACCCACTTCTAAACAAGAGCTTCCTCTAAACAATTCAAATTATTTAAGAATTTTGTTTTTATTAGTAACTGTGAAATTAAAAAATTTTCATTTTATTGATAATGTGTCGTTATGATTTTTAGTATCCTCTGTCTCCTCCCCCCGAATTTTCCTTTTAATCTTTGATATTATCCATAATTTTGGTAGAATTTATCCATTGTCTACCGTGCTATTCTGGGTTCATAAGATGGGCCTAAATATAGTACTAAATAAATCATCTTTCTACAGAAAAGAACTTAAATTAATTGAGGTAAATCTACATTGTAGACAAAGAATATAGAAAACAACTTCAATGATACCAACGGTGGTAGAAGAGGCAAAATTTGTGACAACCTCGTTCTGTGATCGCAACAAATGTACACCTGAATATAGAATGATTTAGTTAGAAGGGAACCTGTAATCTGATAAAGGATAAAAAGGTAGTACTCAGAAGGATAGAGGGAGTGAGAGGGACTCTCACTTACTGGAGAAGAAACTCCACTAATGGGTCATTGAGGCACAGTTGAAAAGATAAAACATTTCACAGGGATGGAAGGGGTGAAGATAGGGATGTGTGTAATACCCAGCATCCCAACACTATGATCAAGCATAGTGGAGGTGAGCTTCTGAAACCTGTCAGTACCCACAATTGAGAACAGAATCAAGAGTCTAGAACACAAAAGATACAACTAACGAGTCTATAAGAGATTATTCCAACTGACCTGGGATTTGAGTGTCATTTCTTCTTCTGTTACTGGCCCTGGAAGATTAATAGTGTTTTATTTTCCTAAATTGGGTATTTATAAGTCAATGAAAAAAAATTCAGATGCACACAACCACGTTTACTTGCTAACACTAAGGAAATCACATGTAACCTGTATAGGCATCTGATTCTGATACCATAGCACTGTTGCTGTTGAAAGCCTCACTGTTTATATAAATATTGATGTCCTAGTCATTGATGACCCTCCACTTTAATCCCCCACATCCTATAGGGTCTCCAGCCCTGTCTTTGTCCTCAATTCACACAAAAAGCCCTCAGGTGGTTTTTTTCTTAAAGTTAAATTCTAATCAAAGTTAGAAATTTTAATAATTTAATTCAACCAACTCATTACTTTCAGTGGTTCTGTTGTTCTGACTCTGTGTCAGACACTGGACTGAGTAGTGGCAAGAAAAGGTGGTGAGCAGCCCACTGAGTGTAAATCTACTGAAGTGTTATGTTATCAGAGAATTCCATAAACACATGTGAAATGGTAATTCTGACAAGTTCTGTGAAGCAAAGGTTATGGGAGTGTGTGTATGAGGGGAACATAGCCTCGTCACAAAGGTCAGGGAAGACGTGTCTGAGGAAATGATACATGAGCTGAAACATAAAGGCCAAGGAAGAAATGCAGTGGGGAATACTGAGTACAAGTGCTCAAGAGGCAGGAAGAACTCAGAGGCCTGTCTGGTAAGATGGAAGAAAATGAAAGGTTTAAGATAAGAACTGAAGCCAGAATAGCATATTCATGCAGGTAATGTTAAGACTTCTCTTCTTAATTCTAAGAATTCAGCAGAGAAATCATGGAAATTTTTGTGTGGGAAGGGGACAACTCAAACAAATTATAAGACTGCTCTGGCTACATTCTGGAGAAACATGGAACCAGAATAGACAGTAAATCATGTAGACTTTGAGATCACCCAGGAGAGGGAATATAGTTGCTTGGACTGCAGTGCTGGTGGCTAAGATGGAGAGATAGAGATACCAAGAGAATGGAGAGGATGTGGCATCAAGAGTGACCCCTGGATTCTGGCTTTTCAAACTGCATGGATTGTGGGGCCACTCATTAGAACAAGTGATGTGTCTTCGAGTCATCGAAAATGAGAAGGCTACTGGATAAAAGGAGAGCTCAATAAAGAGGGCTAGGCTAGAAATGGAATTGAGGGAGTCATTTGACACTGAATCTGTCTTATGCTGTTCAAAGAACTTCCCAGACTTCTGCACCTTCAATGTGACAGAAAGTTTACCACTTCAACAACCAGATATGCATATAAGGGATAAGAAATTCCTTATGTTGAACTAAAAGCAAAAACTTTCTGAAGTAAATCTACTTTTTATTTCTGATTCCATCTTTGAACAAATGGTATTGTTCTTCTACCTAACAGGACTTCAGGAATTATTGTATATGGCTTCATCATTTCACCATTCACCTCAGGTCTTCTGCCCAGCAAAAATTCTTTCAGATCAACCAGCAATCTAGTCCTTGTCCATCTGTTCTGCTTCATATATTATAAACACAAAAACAGGCCACCCCTCCCTCAAAGTGAAATACATTTCAGATCTAAATATTTGGAGCATTATTTTCAAACATGATATGTTTTCCCAAGCTTTTGTGCCTTTCCTCATGCTGTTGCATAAACATGTAACATAGTAGCTCTACAGCAGAGGCTAAGGAGACCCATGAGCTAACTATAGGAACTATTTCCAGGGGAATAGCTCAGATAGCAAGTGGCCACTAGCATATAGGTCTATAGGTCAAATTGGATCTAGTAGTGACCAATATCATAATACTCAGCTTTGTCTTGACTTATAACTGGGAAACAAGCAAAGGCTTTCTAGATAGTGTCCATGCCTTGAGTTAAGGGCCATCATATTTGCCCTGTTAATCAGAGGTCAACTGTAATCACAGAAACCCACAGACCTGGTCCTTGGGCAGCCCCTGGTCCATTTAGGAACCCTTCTGGGGGCCTTAAAGTCCTCAACTAAATCCTCTACATCTTGTTACGAGATGAAGGAAGAAAGACATGGAAGACTAGATAGTTTTAGAGGCTAGAAAGTGGCTTACACTTCTCACATTCTGTTTCTCACATGTCATTAACCAGAACTCATGTGGCCCATATAACTGCATGGAAGCCTCTGGAATGTAACATAGATGTCTTCCCAGGCAACAGGGTTTGATAATCACACCTACCTAATTAGGGAAGTAATACAAGCTTGCTTGCTGTCTTTCTCCCCAAAGTCTTCTGTCTCTGTTGCCAATGTATTTAGCATTTTAGGGCTCTTTTCAATATGCATCTAGTCTGCCTTTCATTTAAACTGGCCATTTCCTCACTCTCCAAGCATTTGCTACACTTTTACTCACCCACATCCTTACTCAGGTGCTTTCTTCTTGGATGCCCTATAGCTCTTATTTTTGAAATCTTATCAGTCATTCAAGGTCCATTCAAGAGGTCACAAATTCTTCATTCCCACTGCCCTGTGTTATAGTTTCCTGCTTGCTGTGTACTTTTACCTCACTTCAGACTCTCTCCAGGGAAGCCATATATCTTATCTATTTTGGGTCACTGACATCCTCTAAAAAATGCCTAAGACAGTGCTAATCAAGCATTAGTTTAATAGAGTTGAATAGTTATATTTGTTATGTCCTTAAGGGGAAATATGTGCATTTTAGTAGCTTTTCTTCTCACTCTTTTAATTTAGGAAAAAATTGTATAGCAGTGCTTCTCAAATGATAGCATAAGAATCACTTGGGAGAATTTGTTAAAAGTGTAGATTTCTTCCTCCATTCCCAAGATTCTAATTCTACATTTCTAACATTGGATCCCAGTATCTTCATTTTTTTCCTTTCTAATATTTTTAATAATACAGTATAAATCTTTTTTTTATTTTATGAATACTTTTTTTACATTATTCTTCATTTTGTACATTTATTCATCTCAGTTGTAATCCCCATGGACTTCATACCACCACTTCACCCATGTGCCATTACTATAGTCCCATGTGCTCTATAAACCAGACATTTTTCAGGGGAGAAGAAGGGAACAAGATCAAAACTGAGGTGGGAAGTGTCTGCATTCTTATCAGTGCCTAGGAGCAGAGGGATTTAGATCATATGACACTTAGATTTACTGTCAGGAAAATGGTACCATGGTGCCTGCTTTTGCCCACTATTGAACTGTTAATGCCTTCCTTTCCAAAACAGATCAATTCATTAACAGAGGAATGAGCAGTGTGCGTAACAATAAAAGTCAAGATGTTTGTCACATTGCCTTTGGATCCAAAGTTCTTGGACCACCTCCACTCTCTGGCAGAAGGAATAACCTGAGGATGTCCAGTGAGGTAGGAGCAAGGTTTGAAGAGCCAATCTAAGCTTAAATGGCATGGTAAGCGAACAGATTTCTTCCCCATGAAGAGGAAAAAGAGACACTATATGCCAAAGGCAGAATTGAATACATTTGGAACAGAAAAATCTATATTTTAAAAGACCTCAAAATTGTTTCCTTTTTGTCATATCAACATAATTAACATTTTTGAGCCCTCTTTTCATTAAATATGTTTCCAAAACTTAAAGGCAAATATAGATGAGTACATTTTGTGGCCTTCTTCAAAAAAGAAGTTGGATCATCTCCAGACACCTTACAATGAACAGATTCTCAAATGTTACATTTTTTCTTAATTTCTCCTGAATTTCTGACATACACAGTGATTTTTCAGTTCAACTCCTACCTGCTAAAGATGGAATATAGCAAATAAGTACACTTTAATGTATGTGTCTAGGAGACTTGCTAGTCTTCTATTTTATCACACAATTTCTCCTTTCCACTACTAATTTTCTACCATAATTGCCTGCTCCACCAACATTTTTACCTTCTAGTTGCTTTCCCCCACTCATTTGTCCAAATATAGTCTGTGGGAAATAAATGTAATTCTTGTATTTTAAATTGTACAGATTAAACCCTTTTCTTTATAGACAATAAAATCTGTTGGCTCCAAAAATAACCGATCATACCAGCAGTCCACTGTGCAAAAGTGTGAAAACAGTGCAGAAATGTCAACCTTGCTGTCTGAGTCTGAGGAACAAGGAGATAAAGAAAATATTCTCCAAATAAAGCAGACTGTACCTATTCATGGTAAGAAAGAATCATGCATAAAGATCAATAGCTAGGGAGAGAAGTGAGAAATGTTCTCAAGATAAACCCAAAGTTCTGTATATATTTACAAATGAAAAGATTGGTAGATATTAAAATATGTTTAGAATTCTCATGTGTATGTTATCTCCAAGAACCTGTCACTGTACTTATTCCTTCATTTCAAAATGCTATAGTATTGCATGATGATGAAATGGGTAAAGAAATAATAGGACCCTAAATGGCTATTTTATAGATTCAATATTTATATTCCCAAGTGGTATTTTGGAAATTCATTTTAGGTTTTCTTAATAATTTTATCTTTTAATTAATCTCTTCCATTTGTAAAGTGCTCTTTATTTTCTCTCAATGATATGACAAAGCAACCCTGTCATTTAAAAAATAAAGACTTTTGTCCCATTTTGTATCAATATATTGAGAGTACAAGAGTAACAACAGAAAAGTAAAGTGATCTACAGTTTGTAATCATTGGAAAGAATTGAGACCAGAATCCAAGATTTATTACTCTATCAGTTTTTCCACTCTCACTGTTCTGATTTTGGTGAAAGTTGGCAAGGCATGAGGAGGGTATTTGAGTTCATCAAAAATAAATGATCACGGGTCCTCCCTGGTGGCACAGAGGGTTAGAAGGCAACACTGCAATCTAACTGCAACCCTCAGTATAGCCCCAGAGGTGACCCACGTGGCATGGCAGACCTCTCCTGACTTGCCCGCTGCTCCCCTCAGCAGTGTACTTTGTCAATCTGCCTGTTCAGCTCCCCAGTTTGTCTCTGGGGAAGCCTCTCATCACCCCTGAACCTCTGGTTGTACCCCAGTTCTGTATGAATAAATAAATCTTTAACAAATAATAAAATAAATAATCACTGTTACAAACTGTCTCCCATGGAGTAGTAAGCTGAGATGAGAAAATTAATAACTCACTGTGAGACTTTGATCAAGTTTCTCAAACCCTGTCTGTGAGCCTCAGTTTTACATCTGTAGAGCAGAAATATAATTAGTACTGGCACTAGTAGGCATATAACAGAACAGCCATCCCAAAGTGTCAGTATGAAGATTTAGTAAGATAAACCAGTACAATTTATCACATTGTGCCAAGAAATTAAGTATACACTAATTGTTAAATGCTACGATGTTGATGATGATGATGGTGATGATGGTTTAAATTATAATTATGGTCCATCTCCAGGTTTGCTCTCAATGCAGTGGGTTCTTTTGAAAACTGTTCTCCACATTCTCATTGAAACATAGTTAACTATGCTTACTCTTTAAAAAAAAAAAGAGATAATTTTTCTATAATGACTGTCAATTCTATTTTATAGCATGTTGAATAATTAATATTAATCAAGTAACTCTAAGATTATTTACATAAATAAAATATACTGGTAATTTTTGAAAGTCTGATAGAATCCTAATAATGGAAGAGGAATAAACCTATTTCCTTAGAATGAATAAATTGTGTCTTTAATACAGCTTTACTTTATGTCAAGATAGTACATGAACATTCTCATTATAGCTATAATTGTATTTACTGAGTTATTTCAAACCATATAGTACTTTCTGTTCTGACTTTTTGTTCTTTAATATGAAAATGTGCCAGCCAATCTGCATCCACATCCCCCTCAAGAACCATCAGCAGATAAGAATAATAACAGGAGAAGATTACGGTTAAAAAGCACCAGCAGAGAAAGGACAGAGACACCCAGCGGTATGGCACTGATTCAATACTATCTTATATCTGTATATTATTCAGAGCAATGGGATCTCTCTATGTAGGTTATAAATTTCAAAGGATTATGAACCAATTCATTTAAAATATAAATGTCTGTCCTATAGGGATTATGGAAATCAAATTTTCTACAAAAGAATTGCTCTAAAGCCCTAACAGAGATTTTCTAGATTAAATAGATAGCACAGAAATAAAGGACTGCCTATTTTTACTTGCAAAACTAAAAAAGTTAAAATATTGGTTTGTTTTTTTTTAAAGAGCCAAATTTGATAGAGGAAGGTCCTCCTTATAGATTTTACTGTAACTGAACTTACCTCATAATTTTCTATTTCATTATGTCTCTGCTTTTTAAATTGGGCCTTTCCAATTTGTTTTTTTATGTATGTTTTCAGTCCCTTTGGACTCCTGGCCACCTGCTATAATAATGTAGGTTGAAATTTAAACTGTTTGAAACTATTTAGATATTAAACAAATGTAGAGGTTGATTATAGTTACTTGTTTAAATATTGGATTTGAGGCATATCTACATAAATGTGTATAAACCTACATTATTAATCTATCCTGACTCAAGCCTCGTGTATAGCATGTATGCATCTGTTGGCATAATTTCTCCAAAATGTAAGGTTCTTGGGTAGGTGGAAATTCAACTTACTAAGTTTCATGTTATTTTTATAAAATAATAAGTAGAAAAGTTCATTCTGTACTATGCCTGTGTCTAATTTCTTTAGATCCTGAAGGCAAAAGCGTGGCTTCAAAGAGGCAAGCTTAGTTAGAGTTGGAATTCAAAGAAAACACTCCATTTTAGGTGTTTGGAACCAAAGAAAAAAATATAAAACTCCTTAAAAGTCATATGGGTTTATAATTCTTTTTGTCATACATTATAAACCTTAAATCTAAACTATTCCCATGTAATGGCAAGGAATTTTAAGATAAATCTCTGCAAAAATGCATCTTAAAACATTATACTGAAAACTTACATTGTCACCTATAACATACAGGGAAGTTTATTAAATTGATACCATTCTTCACAAACTAATTTTTATAATTATCAAAACGAGTAATATAGTGGAAAATATTTGTTCCAATAAAGGCAGTTCTTTGGGACATAACAGAAATGAAGATAAAGCAGCAACGGCCCTCACCACTGTGCTGCAACAGAGAGCAGAGACGCTGAACCCCGGCATTCCAGCACCCCAGTCTCTTGATCAAGCAGGTTGGCATCTTTATTATACCATTATTAATAACTAATAGGAATATATTAAAACAGCTCAACCCAAGAATCTTGAGTTACCATCCAATCATTTGCTAATCTATCACTTTTTGTAAATTTCCTTTCAGTCTTGATTTTTACATCAAATTTTGATGGATGAAGAGTGTTCTCACTTTCAAGTTTTATTACATTGATTTTCCTACCCCAGCAGAAAGCTTAAAACTTCAAAGTTTTCACATGATATTGTCCCCCTCCCCAATAGCTACTGTTGCATTTCTCCAGTCCTCTTTATAGTAGAGATGGCTGGAGTGGAGAGCATCAAGCCCAGCAACATATCTTGCCTAGCAGGTGTGTGATACTTTCACAACAGCAAATTGCTTTTGAGCAAGGGAAAAAGGAAAATAAATGAAAATTGTTTGTAGTTTGTCAGTCTTATTTATGCAATGTTGAAACCTTCATTAAAATGTTAGGCGCAATTAGTGTCTCTAGCATAAATCTGACTGTGTAGAAAAACTAATTAGATGTTTAGGTGATCATTCTTGCATTTATCTTGTTTGCTGCAATATTGTGATTACACAGTAATTTACATATTTTCCTAAGAAAACACACCAAATTATTCATTACAATTGATATGAAAATACTTGAGGTAGAACTACAAATTCAAAAGAAGCATGTGGATATGAGATAGAGTTTGTTCACTTTTTTCACCTTGACGTTTGACAGTTAGTAATATGTTTGGCAATAGGCCATACAAGTTGTGTAGTTGCATAATGAAGATTCCCAGTAACTTTTTCTCCAAAATCTGTGCATGCCCATCTATATTATGTAACACATGAGTTTTTATCTTCTCTAATATTTATGGAAGCATTTACTATGCTTACAAAACATTTACTATGCTTACCTGCTATGTACTTAGCACCACAGGGGTTACTGTCCAAAAGAGGACAGCCCAATGAATCTAGTCATTTTATCTGCCCTCAACAATACTGATTGAAGAGCCTCCACCTCCTCTGTGAAGGTTGTCAGATGAAATAGATTCAGTATACCACTGACATTAATGCTATACCTAAATACTCTGATCCTAAAAATGTGAAAGCTTTGTCCCTAATAGATTTTCTTTAAAGATATACAGTTATTATCCTTTTTGTCGGCAAATTATATTCTGTGGTAGTCTTAGGTTAAGCAACAGTAAATTATGATAAATTTTATTTGTGTCATCAATGTTATTTTTCATTGAAGGTCATTTTGTTGATTGCTTTTGCTTTTATAATGTAAACTTTAGAGTTCCAAATCAGCAAGTCTTAGATATCTTTTGGTTTCTTTTCTTGTGATGATAAATGTAATCAGATGCAATAGGCCAACATAAAATGACTATGTCCGTGTCATGGTTCAACACAACACAGATTCTTTTAAGATGTTCACCATTTGCCTATTGGAACAAGTAAAAGTAAATTTTAAGAAAAATATAAATGAACTAAGTTAGAAAATGCTTAAGTTTTTCTTCCTGACATTTTAAAGAAGTAAGTGTAATTTAATAATATTGATTATAAAGATTTGTGCTTCCTTATTTGCCTAGATCAGAGTTATAAAATCTGTCTTAGTGTTGAATAGAAGATTAACATTGTTGAAAGTTTTGACAATTATATCTCTGTAATAGTACCCACTATTTTTAAATAAAACGATTAGTGCTATGCAAACAATCTCTTTATATCAAACCATTCTCTTCTAAAATTAAGCATAAAGGCCTTTTTCACCAGATTAATGAATTCATCAGTCACATTAACAAGTATTTCTGTGGATTTACTGTTACTTGAAAATTCTACTCTGTTTAATCTGTGAATTATCCTATTTAGTCATCAGACAGAAAAAGACTCAACCTTTTCATGGTTTCCTCTCCTCCATTACTGGTAATTTGAACAATGCCCAAATAATTTCTTTAAATAAACTTCTTACGGACTCCATCATCCTCCAGTTAAAAGAAGATATTAGTACATCAAACCCTTTACAATTTTGAAGATTTCCTTTTCTGAGACATCAAATTAATGAGGCTGTGCTATAAAGAAGTTGCTGTGAAAGAGGTGATAATTATTTTAGACATAAATTTCCTGGCTGGTGTTTTAACTCAGATGCAAAAGTGCAAATGAGTTGCCCATAGCTATAGACACTGATCTATAAGTTAAATGTTTGGCAGTTTACAAGATAGTGGATAAATTGCCTTCTTTGGCTTTAACATTCTTTGATAAATCTGTTTCAACAAGAAATTTTAACCTAACTGCATGCCTAAAATAACATCTACAGAACACTAATTTTCGTCATCTTTTCCAAATGTCAGATGAGTGGATATTTCCTGCAAATGATGACCACATTCCCCATTTGGCATGTAGCAGGCAGTCTTTACTTCTGGATGATGATACCCACCACTCTTCAAACCTGTGGCTAGAGGCCAGCCAGGAAAGTGAACATGACCTTCAAAGAAAAGACACCCGGATTGTTCCAAAGAACGTTTTCACTTTTTCATCAAGACCACGGTCAGCACCGCATGGAAAGACACAGAATATGTCCCCAGAAGGCTGTCCATTTATTTTGGATCTGAGCGAAGATACCAGTATGACAAGAGATGCCCCATTGGAGAATGATCTTTATGACAGTGACAGCAGCGAAGAGGTACACTGCTTGATGAGTGAAGTAGCTTTAAAGCACAGTTGTTCCATTAATTCCAGTAAGCACTAAAACTGTTGAAATGAAAGAGGGGAAATCAACTGCTATTTATAAAAATGCAGCAGATTGCAATGTCAGTCAACAGTTGCCTTGGGTTGTTATGGTAACTCTAAATTGCTGCCTTCTTTTATTAACAGTCAGCCAATTTCATTTTTAATTATGGAAACTCGTTTTTTGTTTGGTTTGTTTTTTCATTTTAATCTTTGTCTCACAGAATAAGAACTAATACGCAGTTTAGTTAGAAGAGATCAAGACCAGTAAAGCATTGAGACCACATTGTTCTAGATCTCTGGGGAAATTGTGTTGCAGTTGCTAAGCATTCTCAGTTGACGGTTTTCTGGCTCCCTTATCCTTCTGCCATCTTTTCACCTTAAACCTATTAGGACTCATTATTTTCCATATGGTCCCAGAATTCCAAGATTTGTGCCAATTAAAGTTTAGATAATAAATCATGACTTAGTGCCAGAACTCACCTTACAGTAGGCTTTTTATTGATGATGTTTTAGAATACAAATGTATCGTATAAATTAATAAGCTCATTAAAAGTTTAAGAAAATTTATTTAAAAATCAAACTGAGTATATTCTGAAACATTTGTTTAAAACAACACATTAGGGTAACTCTCTTTTGCCCACATGAAATGAATTTGTGAGGTGGGTATTCATATTTTCCAGGAAAAAAAATAATTACTTTAAAAGCAGGGTACAGTCAAGTTATGGTTTAACATAAATATACATATCATTTCCATGTAGAAATTATAGAAATAATTACAAAAATGTTTTGTGTATGCTTACAAAACTTTTTTTAATAACTATACCTGATCAATTTATATCCCCTTTGGATAGTGGAATGTAAAATGGGAATCTGAATCTTCCTTCAGATTCACTGAGAATATGGTGATTTTATTCAAGCAGTGCCTATGGCTTTTTTGCCATTTCAAAGAAATGTCTTCAGTGAAGTACCTGGAGAGATCCTTTTTTCATAATAACCTTTTTTCATCTCTGTTTCTGAGTGTGATGAAACTGTTAGACATACCAAGCATAAACCTACTACAAGCTTCTTTATGATGCCAGCGTTTTAAATGTTGCTATAGACATCTTTATTCATCCTGAATAACATTAATATTTGCCTTCAGCCTCTAGTATTGTTCCCATCCCAGTTGTCAATTATTCTACACTATTAATTGGCTTATCTGATTAACTAATTCATCTTTTTGTTCATGGGATCGGCGCATCCCCTTCTGATGCACACAATACCATCTTTTTTACCTAACCCAAATTAATGGAAATTTCACAACAGGAGGGAAATGGTAGGTCTTTGGAAAACTGAGAGGGAAATAGTATGGAGAAACTATCCTTTGATTAATCAGCTTTGAGGAATGTACTTCTTTATCCTGTGTGAAGGGAAAGCCTTGCCAGGAAGTAGAGTTTCATGAGAAAATGGACAGTCTTAGATTCTCAATGCCTTCATTTGCTATCACTTTATGTGCTACTAACTACTCTGTGTGCTTTTTGCTACTAGCTACTCTATTTCTGACATCCTTCAACAATTATGATGCAGACACGTACTTTTACCATCTCTGTGAAACTGACAATAAACAGAATCTGTTACCCAGTTCTCGCTAGCATAGCTATCTGATCGCCCCTGTGCCATGACCAGCGCAGTGCTCAGCAGCATGTGGCTGAGTGTCTCATGGGACCAGCTCTTTGCTTACACCTGCCCTGAGCAACTTTTAATCAGAGGGACAGCCAGAGAGAAGGACCGATAACCTTGCCATATTGTGCAACTTTGGGAGTTTACTGTTAGAAAAAATAGGAAGATTCGTACTAAAATATGAAACTATAACTAACAAAAATACCAGGCTATACTTAAAACAAATTATAGAATTTTTTGTAATCTCTTCCTTATCAAACTGAGTTTTGCTTTTGCTTTTTGTGGGATTTTTTTATGAATTCTCTTCCGGTAAAATTATTTATCCTGTTTGTTTTAATCCATAGGAAATTGGATTGCATGTATAAAATGTTTCTTTGCAAATAGTACTTGAAGGAAAATAAGTTTAGTTGACATCTTTGTTGATTAGTCGCATTATTTTAGAATGCTGTAGCCTTAGAATAACATAGTATGGAAAATATCGTATGTTATAAGTAATAGTGGACAAATAAGTAGTAATTATGTATTTATTATGCTTGAAATTTATAACTTGTAGTTTTAAAAGTCTTTATCTGATATTAAGCCATTGAGTATTTTTAAATGGAAATTAAGTATATTCAATAGCATATAAACTATGCACAATCAAATCACATTATGATGATAAAAGAATAGTGCATGTATAATAGCAAAGGCTAATTAAAATAAGCTTTCAGTGATACATTATAATTTAAGTTGCTAGTAATAATCCATATCTGAGATCTTTATTAGTGAGAATTAGCCTCAAAAGTATGAATTGTTTTGTACATGCTCTTGTCTTAATCTGTATTTTACTATGTATTTTATCACCCAGGCATTTATATATACTAATATTGCTTGATAATTAATTTATAAGTTATAATTCTCATTTGAAAAGCATACTATGCAAATATATTTTGTGCTGAGCTATAAAATCAATGCTAACATGTAAAATGAATTATACTAGGAAAGCAATTAAAACAGTGCTTTCATACCATTGCAGCATCAGAAAAAAAATAAACCTGTTAATATTATTCACAGCATGATTTCTGGTATATATACCTGGTTTGTAACTTACAATAGCTTTACATTAATATTTCCTTACTGCTTAGTTTAATTTTTTATCTAGAAATACTGTCATTTTTTCTTCTAAACTCTAGCCCTGTATAACATAGGAAAGCAGAATTTGCAAGTCCAGGTAATTTGTCTTTCAGAACAGTCCAAATTGGAACATTTGAGCCAAAAAATTACTCATACTTGGACATAAATTATGTGGACTGACTACCTGGAGTGTTCAGAATAGCTAGGAAGCACCCTGATCTTCTCTCCGTCTAACTCTATGGAGGACTGCAAAGGACACATTTACAAGAATAGAGTAAGAGACCTATCCATTTCTCTCCTGCCCCTCAGCTATCTACTATTGTTGCTTTTGAGGTATTTTTTTTAGCTCAGCAATAAGCTATTTCACTTTTTTTTTTTTTTTGGCCTGGTAGCTTATATTCCCAGGTTATATGCCAAACCACTCACCCCTACATTTCACTAAGGATTTTCTCAAGCATACTTATATACAAACAATCGAAAGGATATTTCCTCAATATAAAGCTGCTTATATTTCTGTATTTAAACTATTTAAATGTCAATTTATATGTTAGGTAAAAAATGTTAGGACTCTACATTGAAAACATTTTCTTGCATTTTTATTCTTGTATATTATCATTTACAACCTAACATACACACTAAACCTACCAGGCAAATTTGATACTTACTCCAAGTGAGTAATTCTTTCACATCTGTGTGTCTTTATTATTATTTGAATTTCTGCTCTCTAAAAAACTCATAGGACCCTTGGTTTACTGTGACTTGGCTTTTTGTTGTTATAGGCAGGTTAAAAAAAAGTGTAAAATGCTTGTCTGCTGAAACATTCTATCACTTTTGCTAATAGATAAGCATCTTGCAGATAAGTACTTGTTTGTTGGTAACAGTTTTCATAAGAAATATTTAGAGTGTTGTCAGATTTAAAAGCTTGAAATCTAAGTTATAGAAAAATGTTTTAGTCTTGTATAATTAAAGGAACTTCATCATTTTTCCCAAATATTTACATGATGATGTTTGCCCACCTCACACAGTCCCAATAACTTCTGCTATGATTTGTCTGCAAAGCATCATTGACTACAGGTAAAGATGTTTACAAAAATAATGTTCCCAACTCTTTAATATACTTTTATTAGCATGCTGAAGGTTAGTTACTTATTAGAAACAGTAACTCTGCCTCTCATTTTATTAGTTTATAAACTTGTAAATGCATTATAAACCACCATTATCAATTATCCTTGCCACCCAGAAGGAATTGTATTTTAATAGCTTCCTATAAATTTCAAGAGGAAGTAGTATTCTTGAGGATGGTTCTTAGAGAAGAAATTTACATATTTGAGTGGTCCATTTTGATATCAAAAAAGGAATCATCTTTTTTTTTCCTAATACTATGACCAAAATCTTTAGCTCCGTTTGTGCAAATAACTTTTTTAGTTGACAACAAATTTACCAATATAATTTCTATAATTTCTGTTTTCTGATGCTGCTGATGATCACCTAAAAAAGTGCTGTCAGCTTCTACATTTAGTTACTGAAACACTGGACAAAAAAAAAAATATTCCTGCTGACTCAATCTCAATTACAAGTTCAAACTGCTATCAAAAGTGTGCTTAGAATATTGCAGATGTGTTTTGTTACAGAACTTTTAATAATGTTGTATAAGATCTTTTTCACAATGAATTGAATTTAAAAGTCAATTCAAATAAAAATTAATATGATCATCCACTCTTACAAAGGCTAACACAGAGCTATCTCCTAACTCACTCAACATTAAAGTTGGGGTACAAAGAACTTGGGTCCCATCTGCTCCAAGTAGGCGGCCCTCAAGAGTCATTAAAATTTTCTTTTTAAAATTACAGCTCAGTAAGAGCAATCCATTTTGTGCATCGAGTAATTATTGTCCAAATGCCCATCTGCATGTCCTTTTAAGAATGTTGTTCAACAGAGGAAGTGCTGGCTCCTTGGGGAAATCATTCTCATCTTCAGTGTACATATGCTGTGCTACAGTTAATCAGGCAAACTCTATTGATGTTCCTGGCACTGGGGCGTGATTGAATATTTAACAAACAAATGTTTCTGAGCCCAGAAGACAAGTGGTTCAAGAGATTTGGGACTTTTTTAAAAAATATATTGCTTTTAAATCAAAAGCATTTTGTATTTGTTCTTCTGAAAAACAGATGAACAGATGAT